CTTCTCTCATATATTTTATTATGTAGCTATAGCTATAAAATGTAAATAGTAGTAATGTGTCTCTAGATACAAATCTATAGTAAATGTTTCCAAATTTATTAATATTTTGTCTTAATATTGCCTTTAATGTACTCCATGAACTATCAGGGAGGGAATCTGGAGGGAGAGAGAGAGAGAGAGAGAGAGAGAGAAAGGAGGGTAGTAAATCAAATTACATTTCTACCTTCTGTTGGAATCTTTCCTTTTAGTATATTTTGATAATTACTCTAAAAGAACAATATCATACTAGTAACAGCTTTAACAACACACTTACATATATAAATGAGTTACATATTTCTAACAATCTCGCTATGTCTTCACAAGATAGCTCACTGAATAATTCACTAACATAACACAATGGCTTCACTAACCATTTAGCCTTGAAGAGAGAAGAAAAGAGAGAAAAGAACACTAAACGAGACACCTACGGTGCATGGCCTCGCCCCTATAGCTGCTATGGTGCATGCCTGCACTGCAATAGCTGTTTGATTATCAGTATGAAGAGAGTCTGCTGAACACTAGCTTCCTGCAGTTGCATGCACTTGCTCTTGAATACCTGCAGAAGTAGCAGCACTGCAGCACATACATGCAAGCAGCTCCAGCCCCTCCCATGCCTGTAGATTGAAGGTGTGGCATTACATCATCAACTGCAATGATGGCAGCAAGAAGACCATGTGAGAAAGAAGCTTAACTTTTTCTTTACTAATCAGCAATATACGATAAACTTGCTGACAGAAAGTTGTTGCCTTCATGTATTTGAGATAGTATAGGTACTTTAGTACCTATAGCCGACTAGGTTGTCGCTCCAGCGCTTCACAAACAAGAACCAGGACAACTGTAACTCTTTACCAAGTAAGATTTAGAGAAATCTGTTCATATCTTTTGAAGGCCATGTTCTAATCTACTGGAAAATGCTACCAGCTATCTCTAGAGTGCCAACACAACGGAACCTGACTCAAATACTCAATTTTCTCACTTTGAAGCTTCTTGTACCTAGCGCTGATATTTGAGCAACACAAAACAGTTAAGCAAGACTTTTCCAGGCAAAAAAGAAAGATCTAGGAGCTTAGAACACGCTATGCTAAAGTTATAGTTTATTAAAGACAAAATTCGCTTGTACAGAATGAATGAATGACAGACACACACAACAACTACCTATACCTCGCGTAGGCGAGGCCAACAAAGGCATCTTACTATTTTATGAAATTATTGATGATCGTATGATGTGACCATTAAGTTCATGGGGCAATGAATAACAATCTGTGTGATA